TCTATCCCTTTATAACCTTTAAAGGGACCCTATTATTTGGGTCCTTGGACCCTACGCCCCAAACCCCATATATCCCCCTATAACCCCTTTAAAGGGACCCTATTATTTGGGTCATTGGGCCCTTAAGGTAAGAAGCCCAACCAGAACCCCGAAACCCGCTCCGAAGAGCGGCGGCGCTTGAAGGCCTCGACATCACCATCCTTTTGGAAGACGGATGGTATTTTGAACTTTACCATGATCCCCTTAGACCAAAAAATTTTAGTTGCCAAAGTTCAATTGAAAATGGGGTATAGTACAATAAAACAAAATTGTAAAATAATTCCTAAGGGGATGAGTCTCGGATTAAAGGATTTAGTGTTGTGGTCTGGTTAAAGGAGAACAATTTGGCTATTGGGGACCCCAATTTAAAACAAACAAAACAGACACAAGAGTATAGGGTTTAGGGTATCGCCGTCAAATGTTGGCGAATCTCGACATTTCATGAGGGCGGGGGCTGAAGTTTAGGCATTGCTTTGGATCCCCGGCTAGGCGGCCGCCGGTTTGGGGTGTCGGTTTACTGGGCCAACTTGGTAGGCGGCCAGAAGACCAATCAACCAACAGTGGTGGTAGAAGGAGTATGCAAGACTTACACAGGATGCAAACCAGAAAAGTGTTCAAACTTGGCCCAGTCAACAAGTTGGCGTCGAGGCACGCAGGTTTCCCTGAACCCTAGTTGAACCAGCCAGGGCAAGTTTGGGGTTTGCATGCAGTGTGTGTAAGGATTTGAATGGGGCATTACCGGGGTTGTCCGTGTTGCAGGCAAACTCTTGAGATTTTGGCCCGTGAGCGCGGTAATCCTGCGTAGTAGTTGGAAGAGGATGGGCAAGATCTTGCAGGGCCCTAAATTTCATGTGATACCGCAAAGCTGAAATCAAGACTAGATTCCATGTTGCCATGCAATCACGGAAGAAAACATTTGATAAGTGTACACAGGTACTGTACCCCCTGATGTAGAGTAACATGATATTTGTGTCTTGGTCTTCTTTTATGGGAGGAACACAACTTTACATCGTCCTCGAGAAGGCGCTGTTTATTTTTGATAAAAAAACCACAACTCCCCCCGCGGCCGTCTCAGTTTCATATACTTATGTAGAGCAGCCCACCAAGTCCGGATATCGAGAAAAGCTCCCTTACAAGTAAAGGCCATGCTCTAACAGAGAACTCTAAAACCTTAACCATGGTTTCCCTGCCGCATGCTTGCTGTGCATGACGCCTTCGTGAGGCCGAGGGGATCGAAGAAGCCGAAAGGCGCCTGTAATAAGGCTGAATCGTATAGCGAGCGGGTGTTAGACTAAGGTTTGGGCCAAGGTCGGGCAGGGTTCAGGTAAGTTCGGATTCCAAAGTTACACCGGGAGCAAAAGGATTGCGCGTCTCAAATGTGTTCTTGCTGTCTAGCGAGGCGAGTACAAAGTCTCTAAGTTAGCCGGCGTCCTGCTTCCAGGGGGAGCACCTACGTGATGCACGGGAGCAACAAGCCGCTGCCTGCACTCCGAGCTCATTCTCGAATGCTCGCAAAGGCGAGGCGGTGTAGTTGGCCCAGTCTCCCCAGGCGCTGCCGGTGAGGCCATCCTAGAACTGAGAGAGAATTGGCAATATGTTACAAGCAAACAAATACGCAAGCACACCATCAAATATCATGTCAAACGAACGAACAAACACACATTCCAACCACAAAACAAACAAACAAAAAAGCCACAAACGGGATATGAGACAACACCTAGTAGGCAAACGCTCACGTGACTTTCACTCTATTTGATGCCTGGAAGAACATGCCGATGATGGCCATCATGGCGAGGCGGCCGTTGGCGAGCTCGGCAGACAGCTTCTTAGTTTTCTCAGCCGGGTCGGAGGAGGTCA